AGATAGCGATGAAGGCAAATTGATTCACTTATTTAGGGAAGGCCTGGTGGATTAACTGGAAACATCCAAGGGAGTACTTGAGGGAATAAAAGGGGTTATAAGGAAAGGGGGGGGTACTAGGATAGTACCCTCCAAATTAGGGCATCAGCAGACACTACCAAACCAGAGCAGCTTTCTTATCTCTCATAATGGGGCCTACACTGAAATTTTCAAAGAAGGATAGGGAAAGGCAGAGAAGAGATCCAACCAGGAATACTGTGAAAGAGCCTCGGGCAAGACAGTCTTCAAGTCAAAGCAGAAGGAAGGGAACCACAATGTGTCTTAAGAAAAGTTATTCCTAGGATTTAGTGCATTGTTTGACCATGCTCTTGACACTGTCAAATGACTTGCCCAATCATAAAGCAAATCAGTGGCTGAGGTCTCCTGACTCCCAGTCCAATGTCCTTCTTAAAATACCATACTGCCTCCAAAGGAACACTTTAATATCCACAGAGAACAAACTTTTTGAAGGTCTCAGCCCTAAGAGACTCAACCCTGAGTTTCCCTCCATCCCATTACTATAATAAATCAACATTACTGGATACAAAGAAATAAATTCAAAGACAATAAAGAAATGCAAAGATAGTGTCATAAAAAGTTAAAGCTAGATAGGACCTTAAACTCTTCTGTTTTGCATTTAAAGTCAAGCCAAGAAGTCAACAACCATTTGTTAAATGCCCACTATATGCCAGGCACTGTACTAAGCACTGGGATTAAAAAAAAAGGTTAAAAACCCCAATACCATTCCCTGTCCTCAAAGAGTTTATAGTCTAATAGAAGAGACAGCCTACAACAAATATGCACAAAGATGATATACAGTTATCCCTTCTAAATCACAACTTTCTCCATGGTAGTTTCAATATATCTCATGTCATCATAAGAAATTAAATGGGAATTTTGGGAGAATTTTGCAGAAGCCTCAGACAACACGCAAAAGCCAGCAGATGACACAGAGTCTATGAAATAATTAACCCAAATTTTACAATAAGGTACTATACATACCCATAAAAGAAAAAGAAAAAATTCAGATCTCTTCTCTGGTAGGAATGAAGGGCCAAAAAATTTTATGAGGATTTCCCAGATCATGGGAGCACTGTGCCCCTAACCCATTGTAATGTGGAAGGAATAACTGTATACACAAGATAAACTGGAGATAATCTTAGATGGAAGGAGATCGCTTTAAGGGGGATCACTGAAAGGCTTCCTGCAGAAGATGGGATTTTTTCTGGGACCTGAAGGAAACCAGGGAAGCTAAGTGATAGAGGTGAAGAGGAAGGTAATTCTAGGCACAGGGTTGGTCCTTTATGATTTATCTCCAGTCTGTCTTTCCAGTCCTGTTGCTCATTACTCTTCCTTGCATACTCTGTTAATGCCAAACTAGGCTCTTCCCCATACACAGCACTCCATCTTCCATCCCTATGCCTTTGTACAAACCACTCCCCATAACTAGGATCATCCTCTCTTCACCTTTGCATCTTAGAATCCCCAGCTTGCTTCAGGACGCAGCTCAAGAGCCATGTTCTATGCAAAGCCTTTCCAGACTCCCCTCTACCATTACTGTTGCTGGCCATGGTACCTAGTACTTTGTATATATTTTCCTTTTAATTATTTGTGTATGTGTGCTTGTTTTCCACTTGTAGAATGTAGGATCCTTGAGGGTGGAGATTGTTTCATTTTTGCCTTTGTATCCCCTGCACTTAGCACAGTACTTGGCACATAATAAATACTTAACAGGATGAAGGAATGAATAAATAAATGAATGTAGTCTAACATAGTTATGTCAGATGAGGAAATCAAGACATTGAGAAAGGAGATGAATTACCCAAAGAAACATAGCAGATTAACAGTAAAGCTAAGACTCAAATCCAAGTCTTCAGATTTCAGACCCAGGACTCCTTCAACTGTACCATGAAATTCACCAAGAGATGGCACTGGAAATTGTGTAAACATGCCCTGTCAGTTCCCACAGCATTATAGATGCACAGGTAATTTTGTCACATCAGATAATGGAAATGTTTTTAGTGGCAATAATGGGGCCATTACTAATGCAGCTTGTGTTAATAATGATAGTTTGCAATGCAGGAAAATCACCTACTTTGCCTCCCTCTCTGACAGCCAACACTCCAGAAATTATAGGCTAGTAAGAAACATGAAAGATGGAGATTAAGAAAAAGAATTGAAACACATAACTGCTTAAACAAAGAAGTTGCTGATTTGCAATGAACTTGGTGATCATGACTGTGAAGTTGGGGAAAAATTAGATGATATTAAAAAATTTATTAAAATACTTGCATTCAGATTTTATTACCTTTGTCACCTCTGGCTCTTGAAGAGAGGGGGAGGGAGAGAGGGAAAGAGGGAGGGAGGGGGAGAGAGAGAGAGAGAAAGAGAGAGAGAGAGAGAGTTAAGCTGTATCACACTTCATTAATGATAGCACTAAAGAGTGCATGGTTTAAATTCTGAAGCACAAAATCTAATTTAAAAGATGCAAAAACTTGTGCTCACCCATTCCCAAGGAAGCGCATATCCCCTTCAGGGGAAATTCAATCATATGCCTCCTTTAATTTATTTCAATAGTAAATAGGAGAGCAGTTTTTCAAGCTCTGTGAGAGTGTCCCATCTCTCCCTCTCTCTCTCTCTCTCTCTCTCTCTCTCTCTCTCT